TTTCGGATGGTTTACTATAAATTAAAAAAAAAAAATCTAGAAAGTGCACTCTGTTGTGCTGAACTCATGACTGCAGGCACAACTGAGTAGGATGCTTCTAAGCTTAATAGCCTGATGGATGCAACGGATGTTGCCAAGGTCTCTCTCATTGAACCAAGCATGAGTGGAGTGCAGGATCGGATAATCTGGGAGGGTACAAAAGATGGAGATTACACTGTCAAATCAGGTTATCATTTCATTCATTCCTCAGGTTATTCTCCTCTTTTGCAATTAGACCAACAGGTTTTATCTGCTATTTGGTCTTTCAAAATCCCACAAAAAGTTAAACATTTCTGGTGGAGAATATTTCATAAAGCTCTACCTGTTGCAGCAGGGCTTAGGAGAAGGGGTTTAAGGGTTGATAGTACATGTCAACTGTGTGGAGATCATGATGGAAGTATCAATCATTTGTTCTTCCAATGCCGAGTCACCCGGGAGATTTGGGCACATTCACCAGTTAACCATATCTCAGGTAATCATGTATTTATAAATGAGTTGCATAAAAACTTGGAGAGTCTGATGGATTTAAATAAAGTGTCATCAAAGGATTGCCCTCTATTCCCTTTCATAGGATGGAGAATTTGGAAAATGAGGAATAATCTCATTTTTAATGGTATTAGAGATTCAATTCCTCATACTATTGCCAAAGCTATGATGGACTGGTCAATGGGTAGAGGCAAAGAGTCAGACTGATGATCTTCAGGAAAAAACTCAAAAAAAAAGTAGGGAGGTTAGAGTCCCAAAGACACCCACGGAAGCTATTGAAATCTTTAATAGTTGGTGTTGCTTTGTAGATAGTTCATGGATATCTCAGGATCAGAGAGCTGGGATTGGATGGGTGCTTATAAATCAAGAGGGCATGAAAGTTATGAAAGGTTCCTCTTCGATTGATCTGATTGCTTCTCCTTTAGAAGCAGAAGCATATGCTATGCGAGATGCAATKCAACAAGTTAAGATACATGGTTATAGGAACGTTTTGTTCTGTGGGGATTCAAGCATTGCAATTGATACTATTCAAAAGTGCTTAGGATAGAGGCAAGGAGTAGGGAATCATGAAATTATCATGTATGGTGAGGATATTAGAAGGATCACAAGTCAAGAGCTTGGGTTTCAATTTAAATCAATTCCACGAGTAGTTAATCATGAAGCCGATGGTTTAGCCAAGAATGCAAGGGTTAAATGTTTAAATTATGTTATCTCTTGGGTCTGTAATGTATAAGTTTGGACTTTGTAAAATATTCCAGTTAATGAATATGTTGTCGACAAAAAAAAAAATATACTATTTAATAAAATCTTATTGAATATACAAATTTATAATTATTCTAGATTTGTATCAGCATTCAATAGTAAAAGTGCGTTGCCTAATCATATCTAATCTAAGCATGATCACAATGTTCAGCTCTAATCTAAATCAAAGCACAAAGTATTAACTATTGTTATTTACAAGTTTGAGGATATACTTTTGAAAGGGTGTAATTAAATAAGGGCCAAAAACATGTTTCCCATTGGCTCTTCTTCATCACCAGAAGCAAGTTGCAAAAGAGAGTGAAGCACCCAAGTATATAAAAACCTTAAAGAAAAAGGGTTTAAATCTTTTTTTATCGTGCTGCAAATTGCATTTATTTTTTTGTTGGTTCGTCCGAATTGGACATTAATCCCCGTTAAACAAATATATTCGATTTGGGTAATGATATAAAGTTGACAATTGTGGTGGACTCACCACTACACACTTAATACTACTTAACGCTTGGTCATTTCAAACCGGTAACACAAAACCACCCAGTGTATAATCCAGTAAAGTCCGGTTCCATTTTTTTCTGCATTGCCAAACTTATTAAAGAATCGATCCAGTCCGGTTTTGATTGGACCAGTTCTATGAACATTAAAGTGGTTTGAAATGGGTTTTCAATGTTGAGACTTAGATCTTAAAACTTTAAGTAATATTAAGTTGTTCTTAAAACTTTAATGTTTTTGGGGTTTGGTATTAAGATAACCCTCGTTTTGTTAACGACTCACGTGGTCAAACGGTACACAAAGCTCACGTGAGTCACGTGCTTACTGTTTCAAGCCTCCTCTCTTTTAGTTTTTTTTTGTTGTTGCCAATTTGAAGAGATAATAAGTACACGAAAAGATGTCTCTTCCACTTTCCTCATCACCGCTCTCTATTCACTTTCTCTTCGGTCGGATTTTTCAATTACATTTTTAACTATTTATGGTCACCTTTTTTGTCATATCTAATTTTTATGACGTGGATCACACTTCTCTTTTTACATGTCTATCTCCTTGAGATTTCATTTATTTCGGCATCAAAAACTAAACACATTTTTTCTTTTCATTACTTGTGTGATATTCATATACGATAATCAAATCTCACCATATGTGGAAAAGATATACTCCTATTAATTTGTTCAGAACACAATTAAAAACTCGTAAAAAAAAACATTTAAATTTCTTAAAAAAACGTTATTTGTAATTCGTAAAATGGTAGAATAAGCATTTACAAATCATTAGTTTTGACATAATTAGAACTTTGACATTTTTTTACCCGGTAAAGTAACAAAATGCATCATAATTTTTTCCCATAATGACGTCCAAGTACAAAGAGATTCTCTCTAAGACTGCATGGTTTGACTTTTACAAGTTAATCTAACCGGTTAAAAACGATACACACACCAATTACAAACCCACATACAAATTTTAATTTTTGTTAAGCAAACTTTAATGTTTCTTGGATCACGTTAAGTAACGTGGCAGCTAAACGCTGACCTATGGCTCGTAGGTGGTTCCCACTTAAATTCTAGTTCGACGGCTCTAGATTATCCACATGGTGGTTTAGAGTGAACCGGAGGAAGGGCAAAATCGTCAAAAAGATTATACGAGAAGGCTCTTCTCATTCGACGGCTGAGATCTAACCAGACAACTCTCTTCCTGTCTCTTCTCATACCCGTCGATCTGTCTGGCTTTTCATCTTTGGCCACCTCTTCATGTTTTTGTTTTTTGTTTTTTTCGATTTAATTTAACTAAAAAACCCAAGAATTAGGATAAAATTTGGTCTTTCTAATAATCCTGACCATACTTAATTTCCGTTGCTTATTTGACTTTTTTGAATATTGAAGTGTGATATTTCCCCTTTATTTTTCTTGTATCACTCTCAAGGCTTTAACTAGACTTGACCTCCACATATGTGCTTGTCCGATATAATATTATCATCATATAACACAATTCATAAGCAAATAAAATTAATGTACTATGAATTCTAAACGTTGGATAATATATATCAGGGAAATTAATTAAAACGAACGTTATAATTATTTATTACCATTTGTAAAGCATAATATCGCATTTTTTTAGCATTTTAAAAAATTTCCTTTTGGGTCTTCTAGATGCACACTGAACAGACACGCATATTCACAGATACGTGTGTATTTGAAGGACTTCAAGGAAAAAAAAAAAGTGAGATAATGATTTCCCCCAAATGAAAAAAAAAAAGAAGAGAAAAGAACAAATTGATTTTTCCCAAATAAAGGAGTCAGAAAATATAATTAAGGAACCAACAAAAAAGATACCTTTAAACGATAAACAAAAATAAAATATAAAACTCATTAAAAAAATGATTTTCCTATGAAATATAAACCGCATAAACTTATCGTGACCGCCTTCAGAAAAATAAAATAAAAATCTACAAACCCTTTATTTTCTCTCTTTCAGCCG